TATCATCCCTCATCCAAATGACCTAAAATTTTGCACACACGTCACATCCAACACTATGGAGCTACTCCAACTTTCCAAATTCCATCCCGACCCTCAGATCAATATCTCATTATCGAGCCGGAAACTTCAAAATTCTACCTTTCGGCATTTCAAGCCTAAATTAGCTACGGACCTCCAAAATAGAATCCGAACACACCCCTAGGCCTCAAATCACCCCATGGAGCTAACGGAACCATCAGAATTCCATTCTGAGGCCGTCTTCATATTGTTCTGACTACGGTCAAATTTCCAACACTTAAGCTCTCATTTAGAGACTAAGTGTCCCAAAACTCTCCGAAAGTCAAAACCGAACATCCTGGCAAATCAAAATAGCAGAAATAAACATGGGGAAAGCAGTTAATAGGGGATCAGGGCATTAATTCTTAAGACGGTCGGCCTGGTCATCACAGACACGATTCACAATGTGTACCAAACAAACAAGTGTATGACAATTGTAACTTGTTGTACAATAATTCCATAAATAATTAAAAGAGGTCAAAGGTTAAAAATGCACAATAGGTATAAAATATATAACTAATCAGATAATTAGGGCAATAATAATAGTTGAGCGACCGTGCTAAAACTACAGAACCCGGGAATGCCTAACACCTTCTCACGGGTTAACAGAATTCCTTGCCTGGATTTCTGTGCTTCGCGGACCGTAAAATAGAGTCAAACTTCCTCGATTCGGTATTTTAAACCGGTAACTTGGGACACCATAAATTATCCCAAGTGGTGAATCTAAACTTAAAAAATAATTCTATTTCGATTATTGTCACTTTAATTGAAAAAACTCCCTTATACCCCTTTCGGGTAGAAAAATGAGGTGTGATATATGACACCCATTCTACTACATGCTCATACTCAAATTTGTTCTTCTCTTTTACCTCTACAGGTCTTCGAGCCCAGACGACTTCTTTTTAACTTGAGGATTTTTCTCCTTTTCTCTTGGGAGAGATCCAGCGGGTCTAGTGTTTTGAGTGTTCGCCATCTGCCCGAATTGCCTCTCTAGTATTTTGAACTCTGTACGCAATTGTTGATTGTCAGCCATTATTTCTAGTTGTCGATCAAGAGCTTTTTTATCATGTCAATCATACTTTCCTCTACTTGTTGTGGAGGTATAGGTGGTTGTTGTAATTACCTTGAGACCTATTATTCTGATTTCCACCCTAAGAAAAGTTAAGGTGATTCCTCCAGTTCGGATTCTAGGTGTTGCCATATTGAGCATTTTGATTCATCGGTCCTCTAGCTTGTTGACCCATACAGTAGATTGATTCGTGTTTTGTGGGACATTGGTCACCCGTGTGACCTTCCTCACAAAATTCACAGTAGACTTGCATTTGTTGCACAGGTTGCACCGGTTGTATTTGTGCTTGAGAGAGCTTCCCAACCTGATTGGCTATCTTGGCTAGATCATTTATCAATGTTGGGAATGCATCTACTTCGATCATACCACCTGTCTTCGGCCTAAGTGCTCTACTTGGTTCTCCTTCCCCTGTTTTGACGCCATAGGCTCATATCTTCTTTCTGGGATTGGTTCATCTGTCATGCCTTCTTGTGCCTCATCTACTTCAGATATTTCTGGTCTCTTGACTGGTTGACAAATATCGGGGGATCATCATCTTCGGAAGAGTTTGTTGTGGATTCATTGCTTGATTGTTCTGATTATTTGTAGTAAATTTGTTCAGCAAGACTTGGATTTTCCCATATGATTTTTCCATGCACATACGTCCCTAAGCATAATCTGTGTACATCTTGGAAGCTTTATCTAGACCTTCCACAAAAGTGTGCCCCAAGACATCATCTGTCTGATTGTGGTGTGAGCAATCTCGCAATAGTTTCTTGAATCGCTCCCAAGCTTGGATAAGAGTTTATCCTTTATTTTGATGGAATCCACATAGTTGGCTCCTTAGTTCATTAGTCTTCCAAGATGGGAAGAATTTTATCAAGAAATTCCTTGCTAGATCATCCCAGGTTCTGATTGAATTTGCAGGCTCCTTTTGTAACCACTCCTTTGCTTCTCCCAAAAGTGGGAAGAAAAATAATGTCAACCTGACATAATCCATAGAGACATTTGGGAAATTATAAGTATATGTGATCTTTAGAAAATTCTGAATGTGCCTATGTGGATCCTCATGTGGCAGCCCCACATGTTGACCCTGGGAGTGTATCAGTTGCACCATGTATTTTTGAGCTCAAAATGGCTGGTTTGACAATAACCTATGTCATATTTGAAAGGTTAGGCCTTGCAGCTGCGATCACTGGTAGTTCTTGTTTATCTTTCATTCTTACAGGTTGTGGAAGTTCAACAATTTCTTGTTAATGTTCGATTTCCTCAACTTGTGTTGCCAATCTTGTTGCTTCTTCAGCTACTTTGGCTTCTTTTGTTGCTTTCTTGTTTTTGTGGAGAAGTCTCTCAGGTTCATTTCAAAAGGTCCAAGTTTATCTTTACCCTCATCTTTCTTACCTGACATTCACTTCCAAGTACCTGAGAGAGATGAGGTAAATCAAACAAGTCAAAACTTGAATAGAAAACTTATAAGAATTTAACTCAATTAAACAATCAATTGCTAGGTCCTCCACAACAATGTGAAAAATATGTTGGTTCCCTAAGTATAAATGGCCGTCAAGTAATAAAGTGATTCGAAAGTCGGATGTCGAACTCACAGAGACTTAGATTAATTATTAACTAGGCTAATTCAAATCAGTCAATTGTCCAAAATAATCAAGAGTTGTGTTTTCCTATTAATATACTAATGCAGAAATTAAACAAGTAATGACTAATTTATCAAGAATGCAAACGTGTATTGTTGGATTTTACTAACATGAAATAAAGATTTTAGGTTTTGGTCGATTTATCAATCCTATTGAGTTCGTAAATTATACTCATTAATCGAAATTATCCATGTTTGCTAATTGACCGGATTGTTTATATGAATAGCATGTTTCCACAATACTATTCGCATATCGACAATATATCAATCCTATATTCCTATGGTATTGAATTTATCATGAACTAATATAATAAGATATTCAACTAAGCGAGGCAGTTAAGTATATTCCTATCATTATGTGAAATCGTTCCCTGAGCTATGCACCAGAAAAAAGCTTTCTCTAATTCTACTCTAATCTAAATTTGGCTTTCCCAAGCATAGCAGAGATAGTAGGATGAACCGGTAGCTACAACAATTCACAAGTTAAACTAGAATTAAAGAAACAACCACAAGATGATAATCCGAAGTAATGAAGATGTAACTAATAAATGTCAATAATCATGTCAACCATAACCCTAGAAATTGGAGTGCTTAGCCACTCATGTTTGTAGTAACAATATTCCAAGTATTTCGCATATTTAAATTACAAAGAAAGGATGAAGGGATGAAGAACTCTATGATTTTCCCCTCCAAAGTTGTTCCATAATGTGTTTTTGCCTCCAAATAATGCCCAACCCCTTCCTCAACTCATTTAGGAAGTATTTATATGTTAGGTTTGGGGTCACCAACTCCAAAACCAGGTAACAGTACTTTTAAGGTGCAAACAGAGGGCACCGAGCGCCTGACCTCGTGGGGCTAGGCTTAACGCATGCTTGGAGCCTCGTGATGCCAGGCTTAACACGAGATAAAGTAGGCCTTAAGTTAGGCGTCGCCTAGTGTGACGCCTGGCATGGCTACTCCGTGTTTCAGTGCTCTTTTCCTTTATTTTTGTCATCCTTCTGTGCAACCTTCTCTCACATTCGTCTTTCAACGATCCTACACATAAAACAACATAATTAAGCTCAAATATCGCACAATTAGTCACTAAAGTAGTAAAATATATGGCGAGTAATGTACTAAAAATATTGTATTATAGCCAAACATCAAATATTTATTTGCATCCGGTGAAAATAGCGACTCTATAAAATTTGTGACTTAAAGCTAAGTTTTAAGTAGAGACCTTAAATATATTTGAATAAAATTCATGTATATTTTTATTTGAAGTTATTTTCTTAAGAAACGCAATCGTTTAACCCAAAAATAGATTTCTCGGTCAAAGCTAAGATTAGGAAAAAATTGGCCTAGTGATAACCAAATTTACTTCACTTTCTTATTAATTAAAAGAATAGGAAAAATAATGAAAATAATGGGTAAGAAAAGAAAGCATAATGTTGATCGCTAATCTTTTCCAAAATTACGATTTGAACACTTTGAATAAAGTAAAAGACTGATGGCATATATTGAAAAGTATTCAGATGCCTTTACAAATGATGAACATGTTCTTATATAAGGATACACAATTATAACGACTTTCCTACTTAATTCTGGCTCGTTAATGGCATTAATTGCCTTGCTTGCTCGTTACCATATTTAAATGGCGTTTATAATAATAACTGAAGATTTCCATAATGTTGATTTCCATTCCTTATTTATAACAGATTCATCAATCTTCCCTTTTTATGGTCTTCATTCATCTCGTACCTACACTACAAAAAAACAGCATTTAGCGATGGACGTATTCCGTCGCTAAACATCTTATTTTCGTCGCTAAACCAGTTTAGCGATGATTTAGCAATGGAATCAAGTTGGTCTCTAAAATGCTCGTAGCTAAGCTCATAGCGATGAAAAATATAAAACCGCCGCGAATCTAGTGACGGATTCGTGAGGCAATATATCCGTAGCAAAGTTTAGCGACCGAAAAAACCGTCGCTATTTTGCTTCGTTTCGTCGCTATTTTAACTAATTTTGTTGCTACAATTCATAATAAACTTCGTCGTTTGTTCTTATTAGCAACGAAAGAATCCGTCGCTAGTTCTTCCTACTTTTAGCGATAAAAATCTTTTGTCGTCAATCCGTCGCATGATTTAATTTTATGCGTTAATTTTATCTACGAAAAGTATTTGTCGCTAATTTTTTTAATTTTATTATTTATTTATTATTTTAAATATATCATGTTCAAGAATATTATAAAAAAGCTATTAAATACACTTAATTAAAAATGACTGATATTAATATAAATTAATATTCAACAAGATCCAAAATATATAGCATAATGCTATAACTGTGTCGTTAAGTACAAAACATCTAAAAGTACCAACAATAAAGTCTAAACAAAGTAGGCTAACTATGCAAGGCTGGAGAGTCATGGTCATCATCAGAACTCAATGCATGAACCTCATCAAAGTTAGCATCAGTAGAAGAGGTAGGAACTATAGTTGCCACATCAAAGTTATCAATATCATATTAACTCTGTGCTTGTTGTTGTAATATTTCCTGATATTTTTCCTATAGAAAAGTTAATAATTAGTGAAATTGAAACATTAAAAAATATTGACTATTCAATTTACAAAATGAAAATAGATATGAAAGTAAATTCAATAAAATTATTTAAAAAGTTAACTTACATGTACGATTCAGAATTTCTCACCAACAAAATATTTTCCATAATTACCATGCGTATGGGGCGTGCAAATGTATCTCACTTGGTGTTGGATCTCGACCCTTTTTAACAACCTATGCAAAATATATTCAATTCAAAAGATTAAAAAAAAAGACGTTTGTATAAAAATGAGATTGAAAAATAACATAGAGAAAAGGAAGCAACTTAAACAGAAAAATGCAGATAAAAGTGAGAAAGCTTCTATAAGTTTTTGGATAGGCTAGTTGAAAATGCTAACTTTATTTGTCTACTTGTTTATCTGAATATAACATTGCCTCACCCTATATAAATGCTCCAGGAACCAAAACGAGTTTTTATCTTTGTATCTAAAGAGGAAACAACTAGGCTTCCAACCTCCAGTGACACACATCAACCCCATTTAAAAAGAAAAAAAGTATAAATGGAGCAAATTCTAGAAGATAATTTGAACTTTTGAAGCATCTCCAAGTATAAACTTCAAGTTAAGAATATGAATGCAGTAGGTGTTGTGACATTATTCACTGTCCAGCACCAAAATTTCGAGACTTTTCCATGCCTTCACAAACACAATCGCATAAAGAATTAATGCATTTTCGTCTCAATATAGAAGAAAAGATTGAAAACTGATACAACCTCACACCATATGCAATGCCAAAATATATGACACAATAATACCAAAATATATGATACAATAATGCCAAAATATTCCCGTTTTCTTATTAAAATATTCCTGATACAATAATGACAAAATATTAGCAAACAACAACTTTCTTATTCATGTTTTCTTAACTTTTTTTCTTTTTGGAAGACTAATACCAATCATGTTAGAAAGAAGGGAAGTTAGCTTATACCACTTATGGTAGCTTAAATGAACATCCAGATGAAATAAGAAGGCTTGGATTGTTTAAATTGAAACTTAAAAAGATGCTTACCTAAACCCTTGCCATAAATGGTGGAACGTCGACTCTTTCAGAGAATTCTACTAATAGTATTGCCATAAATGGTGGGTGTGCAAATAAATTTTCTAAAATGTCATCATCTCCTATCAACTTTCCTCTTCTTACATTGGGGTCAGCGTTCTGTGCATGACCTCCTTCATGAGCTTCGCCACTAACTTTGAGCAAGACCTTACACCATTTGTATGATGGTTTAGGTGTTCCATTATCTATGTGACACTAGCAGAGCAATGAGTGATACCTAATAAGGCCTAAAATAAATTGAGAAAGAAATTAATTAACAGAAATCCACATATTAAAGTTGAGTATAAGCATTCCAGGAAGCTAATGGCCAAGGGCTAACGGCAGATAGTATTAGGTTAAGAAAATGTATATATGATACTAACTTGAAACTTGGCTGCATGCATAAAGTAGGAAGATAATTACACTTAAGGAAGTGCAAGGTCATACTTAAGATTCAATAGTAGATAGAACTAAACACCAAAATTTAGGCAATGCTTTGTTGATGCTAAGATATAGTAGTTACACGTAAGAGATTCTTGGTATCGTCAATAAAAGTATTCAGCTCAAAGTAAATATGCACACTACATTTGGTGCATGATTGGTATTACAATATACCTATCAAAAAAGAAAGAAGAAAGTCAACTAATTGTTCGGAATATCCAAATAAACATAAAAATAACTGAGAGCTTTCTTATCGGGTGAAGAAGATTTCGCGTTTCTATTTCTACATTATTATTTTTTTTCATATCCACTAAAACCACTTAACAGTTCTACGACCTTAAAATCTAAGACCGCATATTCATGTATATATCTCACCCTTGACGTAATTTCAGATGTTTCAAGATCAGAGGCTCGATATACGGTGGAATAGGCTTCAGCCTAGAAGATAACACCTAATGAGCAAGCCTTTGCACTCTAAATAAGTGAGTTAAGAGGTCTACTTATCTTTTTACTTGAGCACTTTAAGGATAAAATCTTCAATTCATCGAGTACTTTTATCAGTTTCAATTGGTATTAACACTGAATTGAGATAATTTGAATTTACTATAATTTTATCAAGGACAACATAAATCATATCAATTGAATTTGACAAAAGCTTTCACCTGCCTGATAGCCTGATCTCCAGGAAATTTTTGAAGTTTTGCATATAAAGGTACACATGTATTTGATCTCCAGGAATTTTAAGTAATTTACTGTAATAGAAGCAATAATCTAACAATTAGAACTTCTATCAGATGCAGAAGTTGTGATAATAGTGTGACATATTCTCTGTAGTTGGTCTCTTCATATACTTCTTAGACTATTAAGCTCAAAACTTCTTTTACATCAGTTTTACCCCTATTTTACACTGCGTACTAAAATCCAACAATCAAATAAACTAAATAACAAAGAATTAAAAACTTCTAAAACATTTTACTCTGCAAGAATAATTGTATAAAACATAAAGGAATGCACATGACAATCAGAATTATAAGTCATACCAAGAAATGAGGAAAGGCTCATTCAAGTAGTTGTAGACACTGATAATCAAATAGTCATTTGTAACACAGTCAATCTGTGTCCCTGGATCTGTAACATAGTGTTAAAATCACCTGAATAAGAATCCATGAAATTTCAACAAACATACATTTAAAGAATGAGATTTACCTGTTGTTTGACGCCCAAAGGTTAAAAGTCTCCATAAATGATTTTCCAAGTGTAATATCGATAAGAATTGTCACAATATACACTTTGTAGAGTAACTAACACAAGAATACTGAGAATGGCCGAATGAACATTGTTCTTCTCCCTCATTCTGTTACTTTAGCTACTGCACTTCATTATTTTTATTACCATAGACACACATTTTCCATACGGTCTTTGAAATACTCAACAGAATACAAATCTTTGAACTCCCATTTTCTTTCTAAAGACTAAAACACATAGCTAAAATCAAGGATGTAAAAACTATAATTTTCAATACAACTTTTACTTTTTCCATAAAATCAAAGATGTAAAAACCAGTTATTGCTGGAACATTTCTTATCAATGTATTAGTAACGTAAATCCCTAAAAAATACTGAAATCTAAACCCTAAAATCATATCAATTTATTATTGACCCAAAAGTATGAAAATCAAGGTATCAGTCAGACAAGAATTCCTATATCAAAATTCCTCAAGAGAAAGAAAAACAAAATCAAAAAGAGAATATTTACCTGAACAAAGATAAGAGTAATGGTGCAAACAAAGTGTAAAAATAGTAAAAATAATGGCTTTCAATAGATCTGGATGGCTGAATGGCTAAATCTGGATGGAAACGACTAGATCTGACCAGTCAAAACTCAAACTCCAGCGACACATTGAGCCTCTATTTGGTCATTGTTTCGGCGCTATTTGCTGTCGAAGCAACGCCACCTTGATATCGTTTGGTCATTTTATTATTTTCATGCCAGAAAATGTGATGATCTGGCCAAGAAAATGGAGGTCCAGTGACTTTTAATTTTCCGGCAACCTCTTATCCTTTGCTGGTCGGTTGTTACAATCATAAAATTCTTCCAAAAATTGTTGTGAAGTTTGGTTGATGTCGTCACATTTTTTTCTTCTATTTCTGTTTTGGCATTTTGTTACTATGTCTACAATTACCTCTTTAATAGATGGTAAAAATGTTCAAGCATTTACTTCCTTTCCTTGCTTTTAAGATTTGGTGCTGCAGATTGGAATTTTGTTCGTTGGTCAAAAAAAAAGTAGCGACTTTGATAGAGAGGAGATAATGAGTCGGTAGGAAGATTTGTGCCCTAGATAAACATAAAAAACTAGCAACGAAAATAGCTACGGATACATTTCTATCGCTAATAATAACTTGGAAAATTTATTTTTAAGAATCTAGCGATAAAATTTTCGTCGCAACTAATTTTGGAATTTTTTTTTAAAGTAAAATAAAGGTAGCGACAGACTTCCATCCCTAATTCTGTTGCTATATTTTAATAATTTTGTCGCCCCATTTTTGTCGCTAAATTTGTAGGTAAAATAAAGGCGTCAATTTTTAGCGACGGATATAAATATTTGTCGCTAATTCATCGCTATATTTCATACTAAATATTTTTTTTACCTTATTTGGCAACAAACTATATAATCCGTCGCTAATCCGTCGTTATTTAGCTACAGAATATGGCTTGTCGCTAAAATCCGTAGCAAAAGCTGTTTTTTTTTTATAGTGCTATTTCTTCTTTTCCAGTTGTCATGGCAGGCACCTCTTCTGGTGTTTCATTCGTGCCTTTTCATTTTCTTTTATTGACTCAATTGAAAGTGCCACTTGTCACCTTGTTGATAGTCTACGTGTCATGTCTTTTTTTACCAATACAGATAGTACCTCCACTTTCTGAATATTCAGGAAGTGGTAAGTATTTATGGTGGTAATTCCTTACCGGCTTTTCCCGATTATCATAATTCCCTCTTGAGAATCATTGAAACATACGTCATGTCTATTTAATGCTCAAGGTACGTGTCTCACTGTAATTAGTTTTGCAGTTTACAATATTTTTTTAGGGATTTTCTGCTACTGCATCAGTCACGAAGTGATAGTTCCATGATGACAATTCATAATGAGCATCACTAATGACGGTTGCCTTCCCCTATAAATTCCTCATCACACTCAATTTCGAAAATCATTTTCTTCTTCCATGCATTCATATTTTTAACTTCTCTTGTAGTTCTTCTTCTTTTTTCTGTGTTTTCACCATTAAAGATGTCTTCTCATTCTTTAAAACCTTCTTCATCATCAGACCCTTCTAAGGTAGTGATCCTTAATGATCTCTCTCCCTCAACTGCTCCTACTAGGAGTAGGAGAAGTGGCAGACTACGTAGGTTAGGTTTGTTGTCTACTTGTAGTTCTACTCCTGAAATAAGTATTCCCAAGACTTCTTCTGCTAGGGCTAGAACTACCTTAACTCCTAGATCTTCTTCTAGGGGAAGAGATTATAATGAACCCATGTGAGAACCCACTATTTCTGAGATTGTCCCACAACAATTTTATTTTGTATTAGATCGTGAAGCTATGAGGAAACAGGTTACTTCCATAGCATCTCTTAACCCCGTTGATCATTACCTTAGCTTGATCACTCCATGACTCATTTCCTTGGTTTGATATGAATGTCACTCGAAACTTGATTTTCCCGTAATGACCCCTAGTGTCGGTAATAAAATCACCTCTTACAATGAAGGTTACTCCTTTGTTTACCTGCCCTTTTACCTTAGAGTTTACCCCTCCTATTGATCCCGTGATCATTGAAATTTCCCCCCATTTCAATGGTTACCTCGGTCAAATAGATCCAATTGTGTGGAGGGCAGTTGCTTGCCCTCGTTACTTGTCAGATTTAGTTTCTACCCCTTTTACCTTCCCTTACTTACTCCACTTGTATTCTCCGAACCTTTTTGTGAATGTGTTTATTCCCTCGTGGCTAGAAGTAAAAGAGTTTTAGTCAGCCCCGATGATGACAGTGACTGTGGCTGGTATGCTCGATTTGTTGTTTTTCCCATTCGTGAATTAGTGGGTGATGAGAATATGACCTTCCTTAAGAAGTGGAACTTTGCACGTAAGTATTTTTTTCCTCTTATTTCTTTTCTTTCCTTGACGTTTTAATTTTCTTCACATAAGTGTATGTTCATTTTTTAGCAACCATGGAAGTCTTCGCAGAAATTCCTGACTTCCGTGATTGGGGTAGAAAAAATGTTGTTATTGCTCTCATGGATAAGAGATCTTGAAAATTTCTTTCACGAAAATTTGGATGGAAAGTGAAGACCCACGGTAAAATTTATATTCCTACGATTCTCCTTCTCTTTGTTCATCCTTCTCTTTTCTTTTGATATTTTTTGCTTTTGCTATTTTTTATAGGGTTTACCATTCATGGCATCAGCCTCGCTTCCGTTCCTTCTGCTAGGATTTCTGTTAGCTCGCACAGGAACAAATTTTAAGTGTGTCTTTCTCCAGGAGGAAGAATGCTGAAGCTCGTGGATCTAAAGATGAAGAGGATAATGAAGAAGGTTCCTTAGTGAGAAAACCACGAGTTAGAAGGCACGTGGTTTCAGATGATGAAGCCCATGTTTCTCAAGACTCCCTCCAAATTCTATTCCTTTTAGTCATGTTGATGAGCCATATAGTGTCCTCTTGGACATCTCTGATGAAGATGTTGGCCATTCTGATAACCCCATCTCAAGTCCCATTGACAGACTATTTGCCGAAGGATTTGAGAGTGAAGAAGAATTCGGTCTTGTTTTAGAGGAGCTACCCCTTGCCTTTCTTCTGGTGACTTTAGTTACCCTTGTTGCCAATCCTCCTATTTTTTCTGCTTCTTTTCCTATAGACGACCCAGTTGTTGTCCCTGCTACTGCTTCTCGTGAAAAAGATGAGACTTCTAGAGATAGACGGGGTATGAAGAAGGTTTAATTGAACTCCCCGAGGGTAGGAATTTATTAAAGAAATTTGGTTAGGATAATTTATGGTTAGAACCATTACTTGGTCCCATGGAAAGGAAGAAACTTGAGTCCCACAATTCCTTGACTTTGATGAAGGACATTATACATTTCTCCCTCAAGGTATATATTTGTTGTTTCTATTTCCTTCCCTTCCTTTCATGTTTGTAACTCCCTTTCCTTGTCCTTTTATAGATCAATTTGACAGGTACAGAGCTTATTAGATGGATTTCTTGGACTGATCAACAAGTGATTGAGTTGTGCACCGAAGCTGATAATTAGAAGGAGCAATTTGAAAGCCTTCAACTGGAGAAAGATGTTCTTCCTGAATAGAAGGGAGCTTTGGAACAACAATTAAAGATAACCATCGTTCAACTAGCAGTTTTGAAAGCTTCCTCCAATCAAGTTGAAAATGAAAAGGATATATTGGAATCCTCCTTCGCTGAACAGCACTCCAAGGCAACTGAAAAATAAGAATCTTGAAAGAGTTCTTTAACCAGAAAGAGGCGTATACGGGTGATTTGGTGCAGATGCCACCCAAGCTCTAGAAGATCTCCGTACCTCGTTTGACAAGATTCAGTTCATTGAGAGTTCTTTTACTCCTTTGAAGGCATCTTATGGAGCTTCAGTAGTAGAGAAATAAGAGTCGAGGGTTGAAATTGAGTAGTGGGAGAAGGACTATGAAGCTCTTGAAGACAAGTTGACGCTTAATGTTAGCTGGGATTTCTTGAACACCCGTTTTGAGACTGAAGCTATCCAGGAGGGTTTAGACCTTAATGCTAAAGTCTCAAAGGCAAAAGAAGCGATTGAACAAACGCAGCTACGTCAAAGCTTCTCAATACCCGAGGATGAAGGTTTTAAAGGTGATGGAGATGTGCTTACTCCTGGTGAAGCTGAAATTCAACCTTCGTTTTCTCAAGTTAAACCCTCTATGTGGATTATGCTCCTTGTCGCGCCCCCTTTTTCTCGCGAAATCGGGTTTATGACATTTGGGAGGACAACTCGTTCCCTTTTGGGAATTGGGTTTTGGATTGAAGAGTCGCCACCTAATGATTTGAGTGCATTAGGAAACTAGGGAAGGTTTGATTTGAACAACCAGAGATTGGGTAAGGGCTTGAAATTATTTCAAGGAGAAGGTGTTAGGCACCCCTCAAGATCCACTAGTGTGGTTCTCGGCCAAGCTATTATTATGACTTTAGTGCAAATAACACATAGGCAAATAAAGGCTTCATATAAGAGGGGATTTTCACGTAATGGTTACAATAAACAAAAGTAAGAAAAAGGAACTAAAAGAGTTGATTTTCTTAAGAGAAATGGTTAAAAAAAATTAAAAGAAACAAATAAAACAAAGGAAAAGGGGGGTCCTAGGTTTATTAATAGTATGGATCACCCTACACAACATTCGGTAATCATTCCTCAGTGAGGGGCTACACGTGATGTTATTGCATGGTCATCATATCCATATCTATCCTTTCCCACCCTATTAAGGTATTAAAGTGCGAAATGGTCTCGTTCACTTATTGCATGATATTACCCGCCCTAATCATATCAGTCCCGGAGGCATTTCGGACTACTAATCCTAAAGGAGGAGGTATTGGGCTTATTTGTGATTTCAAAAGGTAAAATACTAAATAGACAAACAAAACACATATAGCAAGTTTTGGGAAAGCATATAAACAAATAAAAGGGCTCAAACAGAGCTCCTTTAAACCAAAGAAAGCACATAATGTGGCATGACTTGCATGTACTGTTAAAGGTCTGATTAAAACTTAAAGGGTCGAGGCAGACTGATTTATAACATAGTTCAGATAAGAAGCTCGAATCAGGCCTGCCTGCTGGTTGTAGCATATAAAATCTGATTCAGTTTATAAACTTTCACCCTATGGCTTGCCTAGGTGTTAGACAAAGACCCTATAGGCATGATATCTACTGACTCCAGAAACAATGAAGTAAACATGAATACATACTGGTTTAAGAAAAAAAATTGTTTGTTACTAAAGAAAGACGAGTTTTAGCAAAAGATCATAAGTTCTGCAGATGTTAGACATTGTTGTTACTAGTTTTAGACTTATAAGCGAGTGAAACATTTCAAATTTGGTTTATAATTCCTATAGGCATGCTTTCTATGCGTTGCTGATTTTCAGGACCTATAAACACATTTGCTTAGTGAAGGATGCATATGCAAGATTCAAAAAAAAGGCCGATAGGCATATTTTCTATATGCATGCATGATTGAGATTTCGAATGATTGTAAACAATGGTACGAAAATGCAGAAGTTCTTGTATCCATGGTATCTACATATGGAAGTGCAGAGTT